ATTTTCTCCTGTGTCGTGGGTGCGTTTACAAACATACAAGTTTACATACACATGACACCCAGACCCGGAACAACAATTTGTGGATCACACAAAGTGTTGTTCCGTGCGGGAATCGAACCCGCGACACGTTGCACGGCAGCCGGTTGCCCAGCCACCGCACCAACCGTGCAGTCAAAGATAGCATTACATAGGACTATAGAAGTATCAGAGAGTGTTCAATGTATAAAATAATCTTTGTAAAAGACGTACTAGGCCAACGCCATACTTTTTTTTAAGGGAGGAAAATCATCGAATGACTGCTCTCGCCTGGGTGATGCGTGAGGGAGTGTCAGACTCTTACTGACTAAAAACCACCCTGTTTCTTCTCCTGAACTTCGAGCCGGAGCCCCGGTAACTCGTTAGGGTCCGCGTCTCGTACTACTATTAAAATTAATGTATTGAGAGTTGTCCCATAGCTCGATAGATGGCGTTGGCCGAATAAAAAGCAAGCTATGCTTTTATTACCGGCAAAACATTAGGTTGACTCGTTTGACGTAAAGAAATTGTCTCGCTCTGAGGTACTGAGGCCTTAGTACAAGTTTGTCTTTTTACGTTTAAAGTATTCGTAACGAGACCTCGTTCGGCGCTCTAAGTGGTTGGTTTAATGGCGCCGGCCAGTCAGCTGTGCCGAACGCGTAATCGTTTCGAATACTTTAAACGTAAATCAAACTCGTACTAAGGCCTCTGATTGTCACTTCATGTCCCAAAGCTTCAAAGGACCTTGTGCCGATAATGTTCATTGAGCGATCTAGGCTTTCAACTGTCTTTTAATTTTTGTTTTATTTACTCTGCCTACACTTGAATTTTCTCCTGTGTCATACATACAAGTCAACATACACATCACACCCAGGTACGACACAACTAATTGTGTTCTGTCTCAAAGACTTGTTCCGTACGGGAATAGAATCCACGACACGTTGTACGGTATCGGTTGTCCAGCCATTGCGCCAACTGTTTAGTTAGTTAAATAGATAGGAGATTGTGATACCGTTTCGAAAAATTAAAATACGCAATACTGATTTACTTTTTAAAAACTTCAAGAAAAGAGCGTATTCTTTTTTAAAAGGCCGGCAATGCACCTGTGACTCCTCTGGTGTTGCGGGTGTCCATGGGCGGCGCTGATCGCTTACCATCAGGTCACCGCATCGCATATCGTCTGCTCGTTTGCCTCCTATTCCATAAAAAAAGCCGTTGGAGTATTAAATAGTCTAAGGATTTACCTGACCTGGGAATTGGTTCAATTCGAGGGTCATACATGAGTCCGACACTCATTCATCACTCGTCACTTGCGGTGGCGAACATTCAACCAACGTGCCGGTTAACTAAAATTGCGGGTTACTCACGTGAATATACTAAGAAAAGCTCTACTAGTTTCGAATCACAGAGGGGTTCTTTCTTCCTGCGGGACATCGCCGCGACCGCGCACGCTGCTCATGAGGAAGAACCCCTCTGTGGTTCGAAACTAGTAGAGCTTTTCTCAGTATATTCACGTGAGTAGCCCGCGATTTTAGTTAATTTAGTGTGTCTCACGATAGTTATAATAAAAACGAGCCATTTGTTCAATATTATACCACACAACTGTTTTTTTTTTTCTTTTTTCAGATTATGATGCGTCAGAAGACAATGCTGGTGATTTATGGAATGGTGATGTTGATACGAGCTGTGATGGTGAGTTACGTAGACCATATTTAGTATAATTAGATAATGCTTTGAACAAATTCGATAAAATTGAAAAGTAAATGATATTTGTTTTACTCAGGGATCAAAATTGAACCCGAGAACCCTTGCACAGTCGTACTTTGGAGAACTGAAGAGAATTATCACTACATAGTATAAAACAAAATCACTAAAATATTTGACATTCATATTATATATGACTCAACCAACATAGATAATACATTTATAACTTAATTACCTATATAGTTAAGTAATAAGAGTAATAACTAATGACTGTCTCGTTGGGCAAGGGGCACTTTTCCACTATTTATGTTATGAGTCCCATATAATAGGGGGTGAGCCCATTGCCATATACCGGGCACAATTCCAGACTCCGTGCTACTACTGAATTTTTTTTTAAACCCATTAACACTTTACCCGAATCGGAGTCGCTGGCAGAAGCTAGTTTAAATATAAATATTTTACCTTTTGTTGTTTTCACAGATACTGCTTTGATAGCAAAATCGAAAAATGGGCGACGAGTCGAGAAAGTTGCAGCAAGTAAGTTGTTAATTGTGTTTTTAAAATACTTTAGTTTTATGCGTGTCTATTTTCGACTTCATTACACAGTAATTAGGTCGAAAATTCATTACAAAAGTAACTTGCTTTGTTGTCTACTACTGTCACTGTTACCGAAATCAGTTCAGTAGTTCAGATGGCTAGAAATACAATCGAACTTACGTTCTTATAATTCAGTTAGAATTACGTTGTTAAAAGTATTAACTAACTTGTCACAAAGAGCAATGATAGTATTTTTAGTACGCCAAAGTCTCAAGTTTGCGGATGAAGTATTATTAGATTTTTTATTTTATATTACCTATTATGGATATGTATACCGAAAACTAATTTTATTTCATTGTTCATGTTATTATCAGTGTGGACTACGTAAAAGGGTCATTATTATAATTTAATTTGTGTTACAGGGAATAAAAGAAAAAAGTTTGAGAAGTTCAGAGACAACAGTAACGTGAAAGCATCAAGCAACATCAACCACAGACAGAACGTCGGCCTCATACTAGAACATTCCACCATCCTACCGTTTAAGTCCAGCAAAGGATATTTCAACTGCTTCTACTGCAAGAAACAGTACGCAAGCTTCGACCAACTCAAGTCCCACGTCAACGAGCTACACGAGAATATCAGCTTCAAATCTATTTTAAAAAGTATATACAGACCCCGCGACCGCATCCGAGCTGATGTCAGCGACATAAATTGCAGACTTTGTAAAAAAAATATAGATACCATAGACATTTTAATACAACATCTGACGGATGCACATAATGTCAAATTCAATTTTGACAGTGACAGCGTAAAGCCCGCGGATTGTATTTTGGGCTACGATTTGAGTGACGGCAAGTATCGATGTTGTAAATGTAAAGAGGAGTTTTTCTTTTTCAAAACGCTCACCAATCACATGAATGAACACAGCACGGAACATGTGTGTGATGTTTGCGGCCGATGCTTCTTACTAGCCGACCGATTAAGAGCCCATGTACAAATTCACAAAGAAAGCGCGGTAAAATGCGACTATTGCGGGAAAATATGCAATTCTAAAATGATATTACGAAGCCACATTAGATCGAAACATATGAAACTATCCTTCATGTGTTCAATATGTAACAAAACGTTCCTAACTAGTCGGAAACGCGTCGAGCATTTAGAGGAAGTACATAACAGGAAGCCTTTGAACCTAAATTGTAAGATTTGTTCGAAGAAGTTTGAATCACATTCAACTTTGTACTCGCATATGAGATCTGAGCATTTGAACATAAAAAGAGAGCCTCGGTACGCATGCGCTGTGTGTGGGACGATGTTTAAGAGCAAGGATGGTCTTAGAGACCATATGGTGGGACACTCTGGTGAGAAAAACTACGAATGTGAGGTCTGTCATAAGAAATATGGACGGCGGAAAACTTTAACCCAACATTTGAGGATTCATATGAATGACAGGAGGTTCGCGTGTGGTGCGTGCGGACAAGCGTTTGTACAAAAATGTAGTTTGAAAAACCATATCCGAGTGCATCACACTGATATGGACTATGAACAGTTGATTATTGATAAGAAGTTGAAGCCGAAATAAAATTGTACAAAATCTTTTTGATTTTTATTTTTGTACACAATACCAGTAAGCGTAGGCAATAGAAACATGCAGTAGGTTATAGACCGCCACACAAATTGGCCTACCCTCTGGACTCGACTCCTGACAATAGCCATGTTGATCTTGATTTTAGTAGCTTAGGGGCACGCTTCTGTTTAGTACCTATATTAGGTATTTTATTGTTTAATCCGACATGAATAATAGGTATGGTCAAAGGCAGATTGATTGCACAGTTGGCGCAGTAGCTGGGCAACCGGCTGCCATACAACGTGTATCGGGTTCGATTCCCGCACGGAGCAATATTGTGTTATCCACAAATTGTTGTTTCGAGTCTGGGCGTCGTGTGTATGTGAAATTGTATGTTTGTAAACGCACCTACGATACAGGAGAAAATCCTAATGAGGGGCAAGGTAAAACCTAAGAGCGCCAGGCGAACAAAGAATCTAAAAGCATTTTCATCGCTGGTTGAACTCGGTTGACAACCCTAGTCATGGGTTGCAGAGCAGTTCATGTGTGTGTGATTGATGTCCCATGTAAACGAATGTAGTCTAAGTCTGTAAAAACTTACCCAGGAATCGAACACAAAATCGGTAGTCGGTAGTTCCGACCACTCAACCGATCGATGTTAATGGTACAGTCAATCAGCACAACATAAACAAACCGGATGTTGGAAAAAACATTGTCTCTCTAGCGTCTAATAGCAGAAACTAAACAGACAGTGCGCCCATCATAATTTAACCATAACTGTAGCGCCTCTAGTGTTCAATAGCCGAACTGAAACCATGCTAAAGAATCTACTTAAGCAACTGGAACGCAACTACTGTCAATGTCACTGTCAACTGTCAAACTAAGAAACAAGATGGCGACTTGATTTGACCGTCCTAATTTGTACACAATTTTTCGAAAACATTGTTTATATCGTTTAATTAGAATAAAAACAATGTATAAATGCCGATGTGTGGTCTAATCTAGAGTAAGAGTAATTTTAACTAAATGAAAACAACGAATATATAAAAATGTCTTTAGAAAATTGGAAATTAGAGAAAGATTTGTGTCGCTGTTGTCACAACGAAGGAACATTTATTAATTTGGCTGATCCATTTACTATATTGGGTGTTACGGAAACATACACGAATATGTTGAAAGAATGTTTTGATATTGATGTAAGTATTAAATATATCATATACAAATTTGACCCTGAAATTACTAAAACTTGTTCCGATAAAACGTAAATAAACAAATAAAAATCATTGTTTACGAAGTAGAAATACTTCTTATTGGAAATATCTATAAAAAATGATTGCAAGATTATTGTGATAGTCATCTACCAATTAGAAATATATCGCCTAGCTGTTTAATGTACACATTAACTTCCATACACAATAAATAATATTTTCAGTGAAAAGTTGAACAAGAGTTATTCAGTAAATATCTTATTATAATGAAAAATTAAAACCAATATGTATTCAAATACATAAAAAACCTAGTAACAAGTCTTAAGTTGCTTAAATTTTTTTAATACCAATGTTTCCTTATTTATTTCATTCCAAATTCCAGCTATCTCCGATACCAGGCATGTTATGTGCATCGACATATACAATATGTGAATCCTGCGTGACACGATTACGAGATGCTGTGGACTTCAAGAAACAAGTTCTAACTTGCGAGGAAGCATTTAGAGATTTGTATAATAGGAATTTTATAAAAGGTATTTAATTCAAAAAGTAAAATCAACAGTTTATTCATAAGAACTAAGTAATAAATAAATAGGGCTAAAATAAATAAAGAGTATATAAATTAATTTAACTCGTAGAGTACCGTCATTATAGACACAATTATAGAACAATAGGTTGCGGTCACCGGTGACCGCTTGGTGTTTGACAGTTTAAATTCAATTTAAGATATTTTGTAATGGAAGCGTTTTACCTACCAATAAAACGCATATTAATTTACTTACCTTATTCGACGCTTATTTAATTGAGATAGGCCTTCCGCTTCCCTCCTTCCGCTTTTCCTATATGTCTATCTCTTACTACTACGTCACTTCCATTTGGCAGTGGTGGGGAGGCTTGCTAAGAGAGACTCGCCATTTTTATTTCATTGAGTATGCATGGTCCAAAATGGTACTCACGTACAAACAATCTATTGCTAAAGGTTACGTACCTGTTTAGATAGTTTTCGAAACTTACGTTTAGATCGACACTTCCATACGAAGAAGTGTTCAGGAACAACATGAATAATCGCAATTATTACCTGAATTTTCCATAATAGATAACGAAAGAATAATCTTTATTTAATTTAAAATTTTTACAATTGTAATAAAAGCCGTTAGGACATTTATCACTTTTATAATAAGGAAATAATAATAAAATCGGAAGGTAGTTTCACAACTTGTGAATGGTTGTCTTGTAACTCACAAGGCACAACCGTTTACGGCGGGAAACAAGACGCCAATGAAATAAAAATGGCGAGTCTCTCTTAGCAAGCCTCCCCACCCACTGCCAAATGGAAGTGACGTAGTAGTAAGAGATAGACATATAGGAAAAGCGGAAGGAGGGAAGCGGAAGGCCTATCTCAATTAAATAAGCTTCGAATAACGGTCAAGTCAAATTAATAGCCTCAATTTTGTAAATAATGTTCCAATATCTGTGACTACACCTGTATAAAAATAATATAACTAGGTACTTGTTATTACATAAAAAGGAACACCATACTCTCTATCTTAAATTATAATATACTAGCAGTCCGTCCCGGCTTCGCATGGGGTAGAATTTTTTTTTTTTCAAAATTAAATGTAGCCTATGTTACTCGGGGATAATGTAGCTTTCCAGAGGTGAAAGAATTTTTGAAATCGGTCCAGTAGTTTCGGAGCCTATTCATTACAAACAAACAAACAAATCTTTCCTCTTTATAATATGAGTATAGATTGTGCTGAGTCCATTATTGGGTAGTTTACAGGGTAAGAAAATTAAAAATCTAATTAGTCCGTCAGTTACGTAATGAAAAAGTATTAGACACGTATTTTTTATTTTCTCGTACAAAGTTACAATACTTCGATAAAATTGAGTTAATTTTAGGAGTGGGAGGTAGTTACGTCACACAGTGCTACATTTTTGTTGCACGTTGTGACGTCACACGACATTTCAAATCAATATATCGTCGAAAGTATTTAATTTTGTGAGAAAAGAAAAATACGTGTGTAATGTTTTAAAATAATCTACCAGACGGACATTAAAATAAAATTTAGGAAACTAGCCCATTGTGTCCTAGCTTTAAGCACTATTTAACATGCTGTGAAACATTATTGAATGCATAATTCAGATTAAATGAATATATGAAGGCCCAATAACCCCGCCTCCCCCCTGACTCAGACCCTGATACCCTGAATCCCCAGCAATTCTAATTCTTAATTCCCCAAAAGTCCAGTAACGCACTTGTAACGCCTCTGGTGTTCCAGTTGTCCATGGGCGACGGCAATTGCTTACCATCAGGTGATCCATCTGCTCGTTTACCGGCTTATGTAATGAAAAATATTCCTTAAGTTAACTTATTACTAAAGGTCCTTAAAAAATATAGTTGTAATGGTGTATCTTTAACTTGTTGAAAATTTGTTCATACAAAAGTAAGCTCTAAACATTGGAAATAAGGTCTATAATGTAGTTAGTGGAGATCGGTCACCGGTGACTGCTTGGGGATATATGGGTTAAATCAAGGCAAGTAGACTATTTTCTTCTAATCAAATCTATTATGATATACTACAGAAGCGGAACCAATAGTACAAGTGGAAGTGAAGCAAGAAATACCTGATGCTAATCTAGACGGTAAGTCAAATCACAATTAATATAATACAACACCCGTTTAATTTGTACACTAGCTGTTGCCCGCGGCTATGTCCGCGAAGAATATGAAGACGTAACGTTTTTTTGTGTAAGTTTTCCTAAACAATAATAGCCTATGTTACTCCTTAGTACATTAACTACCTGCTAGTAAAAGTCCCGTCAAAATCGGTCTAGCCATTTCAGAACTAAGCCAGGACAAACAAACAAACAAAGAGACAGACAGACAAGAATTGTAAAAAATGTTATTTTGGTATGTGTAGTGTGTATGTAGTGTCGCGGAGAACCTAACGGGTAACCGGGGCTCCGACTCGACGTGCAGGAGAAGGAACGGGGTGGTTTTTAGTCAGTAAGAGTCTGACACTCCCTTCCGCCTCACCCAGGCGGGAGCAGTCATTCGATGATTTTCCCTGGTGTATGTAGTATATATGCATGTAGTAAACAGCGGTTATTTTAATATTACAAACAGATTTAATATTACAAACTCCAATTTTATTTATCTGGACCGATTTTGACGGGAATTTTACTGGCAAATAGTTAATGTATTAAGGAGTAACATAGGCTACTTTTATTTCTTATAAACGCTGTTCAATTAGTTATAAATATGAATGAAAACACAGGGTTTTTATTATATTACAGATGTATTCAAAGATTCGTGTCCACTGGACAGTGGCAATGACTATGTGTGTGTGGACAGCGAAGACGAAATGGAGTTGAGAGTGGACGAACAGGGTATGTCTATTTTATCATCAT